TGTTTGTTTTTTTTTTTTTTTTGTGGGGGGGGGGGGGAGGGGCGTTGGAGAATATCAAGCTCTCCTTTAAATCTTATATTTCTAATATTTGTTCGCAAGTTGGATATGAAGCACTACGAGCCTTACAGCAAATAGAAATCTGCCAAAATGGTGACAACTCCACTGGCATAAAGGACCTTTAGTGGCAGAGCAGGCCCTATATTGTGAAGCACATACTTGCTTTTATAATTTAGGTAGATTATCCATAAGACAGTACTATCCAACAACTTTTAGATTATTGAATTCATTAACTTCAATTTATAAACCTGTCAAGAGAATGGAAAAACCTGAAAAGTCCTATCGAGCCTCAGGCAGGCTAATTGTCCAATCATTGTTAGAATATCTAGTAGATGTGTTGTGAAAACGGAAGGCAGCCAAATTGCAAGACATCCTACGACAAAGACTTGAAAATGCAGGTTATTTTGGAGATGGAAATAAAGCATTATCATTACTCAACATCAGAGTCACTAACGGCATTGTTGGTCTATCAGCTGGAGATTCATGAACACACAAAAGCCCTACATGGATTCACGTGAGAGCTCCATCAGGACTTTCACATAACATGTGCTCCTTGTAAGCAAGAACCCAATCATTATTAACGATCCATTCATCTCCAAGACCAAGAAGGCACTAATTTCTTCATCTCCAGCATTAAGAAGACACCACTAATTTCTCCACCATTGACAACTCTGCCAGGATAAACAAATTCCTTAACTCTACCATCAAGAATATCAGCAAGAACATAATCAAAGCAAAAGTAGTGTGAGAACAACAGCAGTTGACAAAAAGTCAGGACAAATTCAATTATGTCATGACATTGATTGAATTCGTCTTTGTTGAAATTGTTCGGATCAAAATCCCCATATTATAAGAGCGGAATAAGTAAGGGAAACATAAAACAATATATACAATCAAGGACAATAATCAAGTAAGAATGATGATCATATATATATATATAGTAATTATGTTGTTATGCGTACCGAAACTCAAGTTTAGTCCAAACCCAAGAACCCAACCTAACCCATGTATTTAAAGAGAATTTTGCCAAAGAATTGATTTACCCTTCTCCTCTTTTCCTTCCCTCTAACGTGACTTTTCTTCGATACCAAGGAATTCAGTTCTAAGCTGAATTCAATTCCAAGCTTAAGTTTTGGTTTCAGAAAGTGTTGAAGAAACAAGTAAGTATTTTCCTCTTTTATTATTTTTCTAGATGGTTGAAGGATTAAATAAAAGTTTAGAATTTTTATTATAATTTGATGGTTGAATGATTTAATATATTTAATAGATATTTTTGGATATTAGCTCGCTGAAAATGAATTTATAATTAGAATTATGGGCATTGAAGAATAGATTGATTGTTTTTGAGATTTACAGATTTAAAAAATGATAAATTAAGATTCTAAAAATTATAATTAACTGGTCAACCAATTAATCTAAATCAAATGACTAGTTGATTTCTAATGCCAACCAACCAATTAATCATTTCAGTTGACTAGTTGACCCAACAGTTGGATTAATCAGGTTTATTAGTTTTAATTAATTTTGGATATGTTCAGCATTATGGATGAATTACATTTTATAACTATATTTTGATTTCTAAATTTAAAGTTGCAATCTTTTATCTTAATTCATTCGAGTGGTCTTTTAGTGTTTTTTATTATCTGGTACAGGTTATGTTAGCATTTCTACTATGAGATCCTTGGCAGTTTCCTCCGTTTTTCGGTGACAGCTTGGAACTATCAGCGTATTAGTAACAAGAGAGACACTCGTCTTCTACATTTTTTCAATGCATGATTGACATGTTCCAAGTGTTCCATTGAATGTGTGTAATTGTTGTTACTGATTTGCTTAAATATTCAATATTCGATGTCTGCTTTCGGACGTGTTGCTAACTCTTGTTGGTTCTCGGAGATTTTTATCGCATCAGGTGAACTTGTGCGCCATTTCCCTCCTGTTGTTATGTTTGGTATGCAGTAAGGTGCGAGGCTGTGCTAGCTAAAATGGTTGGTGCCCATGGCTCTCCTGGCAAGGTTCCATACTCTGAGATTATTGTAGCAAACTATTTCTAAACACTACTTGTTGCAACCCTCTGAAATTTATTTTGTGGATTATGAACTATTTTAACAAACACTAGACCTCCTAAAATTCGATGTCTTGAACTATTTTAACAAACACTCGACAATTAGTTTATTTTTTATTTATTATTCATAGATACTTCATGAAATTGTTTTAACATGTTTTGAATTCATTTTGAATTATTTATGAAAGAGTCGGATTTTAATTTATTTATTGAATTTCTTATTTAGATATTTTATTCTATGCTGTTCAATTTTATAATTTTTATAATATTAAATATATAAATTTTGAAGCTTAGCCAATATTTTAAGGTGATATATTTGTGTTACCGGTAATGAGCTCAGAAATCGGGTTGTGACATAAGATGCAGAGGACTAGAAGAAGAAAGAAGATGCCTTGTCGTGGAGTACGTTCATCATAGCCGACATATGCCAGCATCAAAGTGACGCTTGCAAGGTTGCAGCATGAATTGATTGGAATATGGACTGAGAAAGTGAGATAGGTTTGGTAGATTAAGGTACAATGGGATTATAATTTGGAAGTATGGTTGTTGTTATTTTTTAAAATATTTTTTATTTAAAAAAGTATGTTAATAATATTTTTTTATTTTTTTAAAATTATTTTAAAGATTATTACATCAAAATAATTTAAAAATATTAAAAATATATTAGTTCAAAACAAAAAAAATTCAAGTTCTTTTTAAAATACTTTTCAAACTGGTGCCAAACGTCCTTTATATATGATAGATTCAAGTTTTTTTTAAAATACTTTTTAAACGTGGTGCCAAACGTCCTTTATATATGATAGATAGAAGTATCATCAAGTAGAGGCCACGCCCATCATCTTTTCTTAGTTCAAGTGCTGTTTCATTGGAGTTTCTGCAATTCACGCCATCTTTAGACTCGCGTCCACTAAAACGTCTATAGTATATGTAAACTTCCAAAAGATAGTGGCCAGGCCCGTCAAACTATACTTATTACAAGCAACTTTTATTTGGAGAAATTTCATTAGTAATGGAACTGTGGGGACAATACATGAATGGACTGTGCAGAGTGGAGTGTAGATGTAGGCTTTTCATCTTTCTCTGGCACTCATGCGTCTCCACTTCTAGCACTGGGATAGAATATCCCGGACCTGCACATTAGTGTCCTGACAAGGAATAGTGACTTGTGCAGCTTTCAGGGAAAAGAACAGAAAACGTTGATTACAATAGATGGAAATTACTAGCAATCCTGAAATCAATGATATTGTACAGTTAAGTAAGAATAAAAATCAAAAACACGTAAAGCAGGCTAGAAAATATTCTTTATCAGGAAAAACACAGCAACAAAGCCTGATAATTAGTAACAACTCTTTCTATCTGCCATCTTCTAGGGTGACTGTTAACCCATTATTGGAAACTGTGTCTGGTTTACTAGATGAAGAAGCTCTGCTAGAAGGGCATCGCCTAAAGACAAATGCAGGTTGCTTAGGATCTGGAAGAGTAGGAGTTTCACTTCCAAGCATGAAAAGTATGTTGGATACTGTGGGGCGATCACTAGGGTCTTCTTGCACACTTAATAGCCCAACATTTACACACCTCACAAATTCATCTGTGTTGCATGTTTTGCTTAATGTCTGGTCCAACAACTCCATTGCCTTGTCTTCTTTCCAAAGATTCCAGGCCTGTGAATAGTTTAGAAACAGAAAATGTCATTATGTTAGTTGATGAACACTAGGACAGTACCAATTTTAGCAGCACACATTTAACATCTTAGCAACAATTTCTTTAGGCTAAGCTGTACTTGCTCAATTGCTGGTTAAAATCAAGAAGCTTACATGGCCTAGAAGGCTTAAAGATTGTTCTGGATGATAGCATCCTGTGTTCCTTTTTCCACTGACAATCTCAAGCACAACAACGCCAAAACTGAACACATCTGATTTGAAAGAAAAAAGGCCATCTAATGCATACTCAGGAGCAATGTAACCACTGCATAACAGGCAGAGTAGAAGTCAAGGAATAGACATGAAATTGTCTAAATAAAGTAGAAGACTTTACAATCAATTAGAACCTACTAGGTTCCAACAACTCTGTTCGTGTTTGCGGCAGTTTCGTTGCCTCCAAAAATTCTTGCCAAGCCAAAGTCGGAAATCTTGGGGTTCATTTCTTCATCCAGAAGAATGTTGCTTGATTTCAAGTCTCTATGAATGATTCTCAACCTAGAATCCTGGTGAAGATAAAGAAGCCCTCGAGCAATTCCAATGATGATGTTATAGCGCATCTCCCAGTCCAGTGACACACACAGCTT